TCACTTGCTTGGGCAAGTTACTGATAAACTCTGCAGAAAAATAACAAACTGTATCCCTGCTTCTTGGCTGTTGAAAATGAGATTCTTTCTCTGATGGATGTTAGCAGAGAGGCTTGTAAAAATGCATTTCCAACTGATTAGTTCAGAAGGTGTCAATCTCACACAGTTTTATGACCTGCAGGCTACTTGCCAGATGGACATTTGCTTTTTATAAACTAACAAAGATGAATGGCTGGATTTGAGCATTCCTCTTTGGCAGCTGCACCATATATTGCCTAAGGGAAGATGCTGTCCGAGTACTTAACCCTTAATTTGCCAGATTAATGAAGATAAAATATAATACAGTGGAAGCTCCATAGTTGACCACCTGCCTGCACTGACCACCTCCTTAAGTTGACCTACTTTTCATAAACTAAACAGGTACCACATAAATGTCTCAGTAGTGTAGGCCTAGTTCCTTATGGTGACCAGCTTGGTACAGTCACTTGGTGATCACCTTACAGAGCTTCTACTGTATTTGGAAATACTTTTCTTATTGAGCAGTTTCTACTTTTGTTCAAGAATGAATATGGGGGGAAAACCTGTAAGAATATCAAATATTTGTGTTAAATTTTTCTCCCAAGAATATGCACCTCTTCTAAATCCTTCAAGTAAGAACTCTAAAGATACTACAACATAAAACATATATTAAAGAGTCCTCATAAAATCTCAACATATGATCACAAATTGCTGCTGAAAGGTTAGTGGGGGGTTAATTGTTTTTTGAAGCCAGAAATTATTTGGGGGCAATGGGTCAACAGTCTGCTACTTCAGAAGTCTAAGTTTTAATAACTATACTTCTGCTTCTTTGACAGAGATGGAGGAAAAATACAGTGTTTAAATTATCATTGGAAGATAGCCTCATGAAAAATAAGCCTATAGCATAGTTTCCTCTTTATTCTACTGGAAATATTGAAAAATATTTCCACATCTTTCATCTTCGTGGCCTTTTGGCTAAGAAAGTTGTATTCCAATACATCTATATAAAATTTCAAAATCATTTTCATTTTATTTTCTTAAAACACAATTTTAGATTTTTGTAAAAGATACAGTTTCCTAACAACCCATCATTTTAGAAATATAAGAGACATCTATGAAAACATAAAAAACAATACGCAGTAAGATCTGCATATCTGAAGTTTCTGGTGGCTCATACCTATAATCCTGCACTCTGGGAGGTCGATGTGAGAGGATCACCTGCACTCAGGGGTTCAAGACCAGCCTGAACAAGAGCAAGACCCTGTCTTTACTGAAAACAGAAAAACCAGCCGGGCATGGTGGCAGGCGCCAGTAGTCACAGCTACTTGGGATGCTGAGACAGGAGAATACTTGAGCCCAAGAGTTTGAGGTTGCTGTGAGCTGTGACACCATGGCTCTCTACCCAGGGCGATAGAGTGAGACTGTCCCCCCCCCTCCAAAAAAAGAAAGAAAGAAAGAAAAGAAATATCTAAACCATACATTTTCTTTCTTTTTTTTTTTTTTTTTTTTTTTTTGCAGTTTTTGGCTGGGGCCAGGTTTGAACCTGCCCCCTCTGGTATATGGGGCCGGTGCCCTACTCCTTGATTAAACCATATATTTTTACGTGTATACAAAACTGTGGTAACAAAAACTTACGATTTAATATAAACAGTCCAGCTTCACAAATTTAAGTCAAGTATTCACTTGTTGAGCTTCCCTGTGCCCCAGGTACAAGGGAAACAGTGAAGAGGTGTTTAGTTACTATCTCTGGGTGAGCTAAGCTAGGTCTCTTCCAGTTTCAAGTGACAGAAAATCCAACTCTTAACAGGTTTAAGGAAGAAGAGAATGCTTTAGCTTCTATAAACAGCCCAGGAGGTCAAGCGTGGCTTATGGCAGAAACCATAAAGATGTCACTATGACCTGTTAGCTCCAGTGTCTGGCTCTGCTGCTCTGGGGTGGCCCCACTCCAAGGCAGATTTTGTAGTGGCAGAAAGATGGCTATAGCAATTCCAACCTCACAGCCTGACACCTCAGGCCTATTTGGAGGGTGGGGAAAATCTCTTTTTAGACAGTTCCTGACATTCAATGTGTCCTCTGATACAAAAAGTAGACAATATAGTTTAAGCTTCCCTGTACTCAACCCTCAAAATTATTGCTGTGGTGGATAGACATGGTAGTTACCTACACATTTGTGAAGTGGATGCCCAGTTGAAACTGTAAAGCCCCCATAAAAGGAAGTGCATGTGTTCACTGCATTAGTCTTCAGATGGCGCCATGACTCTTGGTCAGAGTCAGGCCTCTACATCACATCTCTTGTTTCTTACCTTCCCTGGGTTGTTATTTATCTACTTTCTAGACAGAGCCATTTAATTCAATGTTGTCTACTTTCCCTTGTTTCAGTTTACAGTCAGATGATGAAGGGGCAAGATAAAGGCTCGATTCTGTTAATAAGAGTGGCCCAGCCTTTTTGGAAAGAAATATAGAGAATCTTCAAAGAGCTAACAATAGACTTTCCATTTGATCCCACAATCTCATTACTAGGTACCTACCCAGAAGAAAAAATTATTTTAGCCCGAGGACATTTGCATTCAAATGTTTATAGCAGCTCAGTTCACAGTCATCAAACTGTGGGATCATCCCAAGTGCCCATCAACCCATGACTGAATTAATAAACTGGTGTATGTACACCAGGGAACTCTATTCAGCCATACAGAAGATAGACTTTGCATCTTTCATATTTGCCTGGGTTGATTTGGAGAAGATTCCCCTACATAAAGTATCTCAAGAATGGAAAAGACAGCATCCAATGTACTCAGTACTGAGTTGAAACTAGTAGATGAACAACTATATGCCCACATGAGAGAAAAATACATTTAAATTCAAGAATGGGGGAGTAGGAAAGGGGGGTGGGTGAGCTCTCACCTAACTGACACAGTGCAGGTGTATATGGCACACCTCCTGGATGAAGGGCTCACCTGCAACTTGGACTTCACCTAACAAACACAGTGACATCTAACCATATGTACCTTCATATTAATCTGAAATAAAAAATAAATTACAAAAAAAAGAAATACAGAGAGAAGAAAATTAGAGTGGCCTAAAACAAATAAATGGCTAGCATCGTTTTTTTAAAAATAAAAGTTATTTTAAAAAATACCTGTGAAAATAAAAGTTGTCCATATTTTCAGCTGAGCTTGCCCTAATAGGGTTACACCAAGACCTGATATTTAAGCCTGAAGATTTTAAAACTATTTTTTCAGTCCTTCTAACAGTGATCAAAGTCTTCAGAAAGGAATTTTTTTATTAATTTATACTGAGAAAAGTATTTAATAAGCAGATCAAAATTCATCTTTTTCGCTATTCAGTAAATAATGATCTTAAAGGATATCATCTAACCATTATAACCTGCCACTTTCATCTACTAATGGGTTGGTTATGCACTACTATGTACTAATGCGCTACTGAATATAGGGTTTTTTTCCCTTTTTTTTTTTTAAATAAAGATAGGGTCTTGCTCTGTTGCCCAGGCTACAGTGCAATCATGGCCCACAACAACCTCAAACTCCCAGGCTCAAGTGATCCTCCCACCTCAGCCTCCCTCGTAGATGGGAACACAGGTGTGCACTACTGTGCAAGGTAGACAGGTTGACTTCTCACCAGGGTGCCCCTCCTCAATCCTGGAGTATCCAGGGGGAAGCTGGGGGCTCATCCAAACCACAGAAGTCTGATGAAAAAAGCCCCCAAGTCGCCTGCACAGGCCAGAGTAGGCCTGTGTGTGGAGGGTCAACAGGTGGGAAAGGTTAAGCTCTTCAAACTTAGATTAGGAAACCTGGCTTACTTCCCTCATAGGGACAGACCTACTTTCTCCCTCCCTCTTTCTAAAGATGCCATTGGCTGTCTGGTCTGTTAGTCACCTACCATTTACCTAGCCTCTCTCTCTTGAATCTTCCTGAGGACTTGGGATTCTTTCAACCCTCCCTTTTGGCATTTTTATATTTTGCATGTGCATCTTTGTTAGAAATCAATAAAAGCCTTCTGAAGAGGCCAGAGACGGGCTGAGCTTTCTCCATTTACTCAGGCTGAGTTAATGTAAGCTTTTCCTTAAAAAAAAAAAAAAAAAAGTAGGGCGGCGCCTATGGTTCAAAGGAGTAGGGCACTGGCCCCATAAACTGGAGGTGGTGGGTTCAAACCCAACCCCTAGCCAATAAAAAAAGTAAGCCTTCTCCAAGGGTTCTCAAACTTCATGTTTTTAAACTCACTTATCTTCAGCTTAGTTTTCCTATTCAGCTTTCAAACCAGGTCGAGGTTCACGTGCAAAGACCCCTGACCACCACTATGGCTAATTTTTTATAGAGATCTCATTATGTTGCTGAGGCTAGGTTTGAACTCCTGGCCTCCAGCAATCTTCCCATTTCAGCCTCCCAAAGTAGAATTGCAGGCATCAGCCACCATGCCTAGCCTAATCAGATTTTTGTATTTCTTACTCAGAGTAAATATTACATGATTTTTTCAACCATCTGTAATCCAAATATTATTCTCTGTGAAACCAGATACAAATATAATCACACATCACTTAGCAATGGGCATACATTCTGAGAAATGTCATTTGAAGATTTTATTATTGTACAAAACATAGAATATGTCTACACAAACCTACCTGGTACAGCCTGCTACATACCAAGACTATATGGTATAGTCTATTGCTTCTAGAGCACAAACCTGTACAGTGTGTATGCAGCTGAAACCCCATGGCAAGTCTTTATGTATCTAAGCATAGAAAAGGCATAGTAAAAATAGAATCTTTGGGGGGCCACCATGGTATATGTGGTCCACCATCATGTGGCATATGACTGTATTTCATCTTCAAAAAGTATGCCTCATAGAAATTACCATCACTTAGGGGATGGGAAATCACATGATTAAAATAAAAACCAACCATAGAGCAAAACATAGTCTATGTTACATCATTAAAAGGATCTCCTGGTCTCTATTTCTCCCTGCAGATGGACTCGTTGATTGTATGGATCCTGATTGCTGCTTACAGAGTTCTTGCCAAAATCAGCCCTACTGTCGTGGGTTGCCAGATCCTCAGGATATCATAAGCCAAAGCTTACAGTCACCACCTCAGCAGGCTGCCAAATCCTTCTACGACCGAATCAGTTTTCTCATAGGCTCTGACAGCACCCATGTCATACCTGGAGAGAGTCCTTTCAACAAGAGGTCGAGGCATCTTTTCCTTCTATAGACACATAGTCCTGTTAGCAACAGTTTCGTACGCTTTATGTGAAATGCTGATAATTTGAAGAAAGTACTTTTTAAAAAACATATAGTTTTTCCTCTTTTGGCAAATTCTTCCCCAAACTTCACATTTCAAGCGTTTTGACACAACACGCAGACTTTGTCAATTTCAGTACCTGAACCTAACAGGACATTCCATTCAGGAGTCAATAAATCTTCATTTAACTGGTTGATTTTGTTAGCACAGTTGGAAATATTTCAAAAAAGCAATGAAAAGACCCTAAAAGGCAAAACAGAAGTGCACTTTTTCTTTAGCTGAGCTCACTAAATAATATAAATTATGAATTAATGGCATGGAACTGCTAACGGCATGGCAGTGAGATTGCATACGCTGTTTGGTGCGGTAATGACCTGAAAAATAAACTCGTAAGTGAAAGCAGGTGTCTCTTGTCTCACTGAGCAAAAAAAGATGATTTACCCTAGAACTCCTGGGTCTGCAGCAGTCTGCCAGCATTAAGGCCGTTGACCCAGCGGTTGATTAAAAGTTGTTGCACAAACCTTCCTTATTGCCCTCTTAAATCTTGTCATTCTTGGTCCCTGAATATATACAGATTGCCTCAGAATTAATTGGAAAGTATACTTTTCTTCATGGATGCACCAGACACAAGACTTACTGGGGAAAAAAGCAGAGTTTATAATTTTAGAAATTCATCTCTGTAATTTTTGGTCTTGATAGCTCTCCAAAAAACAAACAAAAAAAAAAAACAGATCACAACTAATTAAAATACACACAAGGCATTTAAAGAATGTGAATTATATGGAATTAAAAGGGGCATTATATTAGGAGTATTTAAGTCTGGGTGTTGTGATAGTTGACTGCATAACGTTGTTTTATCTGTAGGTTGAATTATCTATATCTATCATGATAACGTTGGCCTGAGAAGACAGGTGTTCATTCTAATTCTTCTTGCTTTTCTCACAGCCTTGCATCTGTCATAAGAGGCCAAGTTCTAACTGCTGATGGAACTCCACTCATTGGAGTAAATGTCTCATTTTTCCATTACCCAGAATATGGATATACCATTACCCGCCAGGATGGAATGTGAGTTGGTCATATCACACTATCTCTGCTTGAAGGATTTTAAGAATAAGAACTAGTATCACCTATAATGTTTTATTGTCCCTTTTAATATGGTGATGCAACAAATTTTAGGCTCCAGGAAAACATGATAGCAGAAATTTAAAATCATAAACTCATACACTTCTTTAAAAGTTGATTTCTTTTTCTAAGACCTGATAATAATATTGTGATTTTATAGGAGAATGTTCTTTGTCTTAGAAGAACATACATGTTTAAAGATTTGGGGGTAACATTTCATAACGTCTACAACTTAAGTTCACATAGTTTCAAAAACAGAGTCAAGAGAAGCAAGGTGGGAAGACATTACCACACTGACCAGATAAAGGGCATATGAATGTTCTTTGTATAATTCTGTTAAGGTTCCTGTAGACCTTAAAATGTTTACATGAAAGTTGGGAGGAAAAGTTAATTTTTTTTATAAAGTATATTAATTTAAGGAAGCGTGTACTGGTAGGTATGTGGATTTCAGACAATTCGCTAAGTGTGCCTCGTTTTTCCTTAGGTTTGACTTGGTGGCAAATGGTGGGGCTTCTCTAACTTTGGTCTTTGAACGGTCCCCATTCCTCACTCAGTATCATACTGTGTGGATTCCATGGAATGTCTTTTATGTGATGGATACCCTAGTGATGAAGAAAGAAGAGAATGACATTCCCAGCTGTGATCTGAGTGGATTTGTGAGGCCGAACCCTATCATTGTGTCGTCACCTTTGTCCACCTTTTTCAGGTCTTCTCCTGAAGATAGTCCCATTATTCCCGAAACACAGGTAAAATATCCAGAGGAGCAGTTCTGTTACATAAAAGGTTTTCAGATCGCTTTTTGCCAAAGCATCTTAAAACAGGATTATGCAATTCCAATGCTATCTTAAAGAATTCCATAGAAGGAAATGTAGAATGTGGGACATATGTGCTGGGCCACCTAATTATTTCTTGAAGATCTTTTTGAAATAGTTTTTCTTTAGGCTGTATCTGTATATATTTATTAGCTGTAGTCACATGGAAAAAATAACTTAATCACTAATAATGCCCTGCTTATTCTTTCATTCAATGAAAAAAAAATTTCAGTGCCTATTTGTACTTGACAGCCTGACTGCCATTGTACAAGGTGCTATTATACATGGTCATTACTCTCAATAACATACTATTTGATTATTATTGTAAGTTAAAGACATTTTGGGAAAAATGATTGTAGGCAAAATATTTATTAATGTAACTTTTTAAGAAATAGCCATTCACTATTCCTTTTATCTACTGAAATATCTGGGTATTGTTTTTCTTTCTGTGTGTTTCCAGTTAAAAATAACTCCAGGAGGCTGAGGCAGGTAGATCCCTTGAGCTCAGGAGTTCAAGGCCAGGCTGAGCAAGAGTGAGACTCCGTCTCTACTAAAAACAGAAAAACTAGCTAGGCATGGTGGCAGATGCTGTTAGTCCCAGCTACTCTAGAGACTCAGGAGGGTGGATTGTTTGAGCCCAAGAGTTTGAGTTTGCTGTGAGCAATAATACCGCAGTAGTCTACCCAGGACGACAAAGCAAGACTCTGTCTCAAAAAATAACAATAGTAATAACTTTCAGATTTTAAACATAGGACATTAGGTACAATAATAACAGACTCAATTCATAAATACCTAAGTAAAAATCTGGGATCTTTAAAATATAATAACACATAGCAACGGCCATATTGATTTTTCAAATATTTATTGATCAACTGTTCAGTACCAGGCACTGTTATCGAGGAGCAAGGTGGCAAACCATGCAGATGACCTACCTGTGCTTAGGGGGCTTACCAGCTAATGAGCAGAGAGAGGGAGTGAGTAATAACAGATGTCAGGTGTGATGAGACACTGAAAATAATAAAGCACGAGACTGTTTATCACAGCTCAATTTGCAGTCACCATGATGTGGAAACAACCCAAGTGCCCGTCAACCCAGGAATGGATTAACAAACTGTGGTATATGTACACCGTGGAACACTGTTCGGCCCTAAGGAAAGATAGAGACTTTACATCTTTTGTATTAACGTGGATGGAGTTGATACATATTCTTCTTGGTAAAGTAACACAAGAATGGGAAAGCAAGTATCCAATGTACTCAATACTAATATGAAGCCAGTAGATCTACGATCTAATACACACCCACACAAGAGAAAAACACAATTCAAATTGGGGGTCAAGAGTAGGAGGAAGGGGGACAGGTGAGCTCCCAGCTGGTGAGCACAATCTAAGGGCACTGCTCCTGGGTGCAGGACACAACTACAACAAGGACTTTACCCACCAAATGCAAACAGTGTAACCTAATTGTTTATACCCTCACATTAACCTGAAATTTTTTTTAAGTACCAAAAAAAATAAAATACAATGAAAAATTACATTCATGTATAGGTATATGTTGGAGATATTATGGGTTCAGTCAGTTCCAGACCATCTCAATAAAGCAAATATTGGAATAAAAAAATTATAAAGCAGGGGAAAGTGGAGAGGAGCATGATTTTATATAACACAGTCTGAGAAAAATCTCTTCAAGAATGTGTATTTTTAGCAGGAACTAGGAAAATATAAGAACAAGCCCTGACAATAGCAGGGCAGCTCCAAGCAGGGTACACTGGGCCTGGGTGAGGAAGGGCAAAGGACAGCAGGCCTGACTGGAGTGCAGCTGGTGGGACCTAAATCACAAACCATTGAAGACAATGGCAAAGACAGCTTTTTGAGTGATTGGAAGCTATTGAAACTGTGTGAACAGAGCAGTAGCAGTGCCTCATTTGCTGCTTTCAGGGATCACTGTAGTTAGAGTGCTGAGAATATTCTGTATTAGGCAAGGGCCAGAGCAAGGAGACCAATCAGGAGGCCACCTCAGTCATCCACAGGAGAGATGATAGTGGCCTGGACAAAGGTGGTCGGGGGAGCAGCAGACATGGAAAAATGCAGTCCCGGGAACGGTGGAACCTGAAGATGGAAATTTGGGAGTCATCACTGTACTTAAAGTGTGGCCAGAGGTCCCTAGGAAGGAGGTGTAGATAGAGATTGGAAGGGCTTAGCCAAGAAGGTGAGGGACAGAAAAATCAAGAAGGCTCACAGGCAAACGCAGGGCAGGAGCTATACCTAAGTGGTTGACCGCACAGCAAACAGCCAAGCACATTTGGAGCTGAGCTTTGGGGAGTTCACTGTAACCTTCAAATTTAATATTTCCTCCCCATCCATCTTGCAATAATATTGACCCTCTTCATCCTAAAATAGACTTAACCTAGAGGCAATGTCTGTCTTTAGTCAGCAAACTTGTAGCAAAGCAGGACATTGAAATGGGTTTTAAGTGGTGAACAACTCCATGAATACATGATATCTTTTTTTTCAATTTGTGCATACAATAGGCAGACATTTGGCAAAAATCTACAAGTAGAAGTGCTTTATAAGGGTGAAAAGAAGAATTAGATATGAGTGCTACCATTCCAAATGGGGTAAAGATTTGCATGCAGAACTGTGGAAGTTCCAAAGAGTCAATTCCTAAGGAAGCAAAAGAAAGCTTCATGGATAATGTTGTCCTTTAGGAGAGATTAGGCCAAGAAGGGAGGAAAAGCATATTTCTAGTTAAAGAAAATATGTCAGCAGCAGTTGGGCATAAGAATAAGACATGTAATGTGCAACCTGGTAAACAATTAAATGCAGGATGTATATGGGTAAAGAGGCAGAAGATAGTATGGCAGCCACATCATTAACGACCCTGGTATTCCACCCAACAGAGACCTTGACTTCTCTAGGCAGTGTCGAACCAAGGCACCAATGATGGTTTTTGGTTTTGGGGTTTTTTTTTTCTTTAAGACAGTCTCACTCTGTCACCCTGGGTAGAGTGCTATGGCATCATAGCTCGCAGCAACCTCAAACTCCTGAGCTCACGGGATCCTCTTGCCTAAGACTCCCAAGTAGCTATGACAGGTACCTGCCACAACACCTGGCTAGTTTTTCTATTTTTAGTAGAGATGGGGTCTCACTCTTGCTCAGGCTGGTCTTGAACTCCTGAGTTTAGGCAATCCACCTGCCTCAGCCTCCCAGAGTGCTGGGATTATAGGCATGAGCCACTGTGCCCAGCCACCAATGATTATTTTTTTCAGCATTTCTCTCAAGCTGACCAAATGCATTTTTGATAGGAGACAGTGAAATCTGTGAGCAGGCTATTGTTGTCAACTGTATTTTCTTACGTGCCCAGGGTTCCGAGGGACAGGTGCTAATAGTCAGCATGGGAGCGCAGAGGATGAGAGGAAACACACTAGATGAGATTAGGAAGGCACAGTTAGCAGGGTGCCAACTGAATGCTTCACAGGTCAAGAAGGGGACATCATGCAGCGGGCAAAAAATAGGTTTGATGGTTGATTTCCCCACTTTGGCTGTATTTACTTTTCCTACTAATACAAAATAATATAGTAAAGTAAAATAGCATAGGAGAAACATATGCTTTAATGAAAAAAGTTATAAATATTTGTCCCTTGGACATAGGTTAATGACAGAGATGATAGTTTTTAAAATTAGGAATAATGTGATATTTTGAAATAGAGGAGCAACTTCTAAAGATCACCAAACATACATATAATGAAAGGATCCCTTACAAATTAAGAACCTCTCCACTTTATGGGAAATCTTTTGTAAAATAAATTAAGAAGAAATAAATTATTCACCGTAGGGTTCAATCTCATATTTTGAGGGGAGAATTCAGTAGTCACAGAATATATTTTTCAGACTAATCCACTGATATTACACTCCAGTCATGGGGTGAAATCTTTTTAGATTATTCACTCTAATAGCCTACAGTCTTACAAAAAAGTACTATTTCATCTTAAATTTAAATGTTTTCCTGGGTCTAATAGAACTCTAAAAAGTTTCTTTATATTTGTAAACTATTTTGCTTAAAACAGTTTATTTCAAATTAATATGAGGATACTAACATTTAGGTTACATTGTTTTCAATTTTTTAATTTTATTCAAATTAATATGAGGGTACACTATTTAGGTTACATTGTTCTCACTTCCAGAGTAAAGTTCTATTTGTTTTCAATTCTAAGGTAAAGTTCAAGTTGTAAGTTGAGTCCTTCACCCCAGGGCGTGCTGACCACCCTGACACTGTGCACATCAGGTGAGATCCCACCCACCAGGGGGCGTGCTGACCACCCTGACACTGTGCACATCAGGTGAG